CCCCTCAGAACCCCCCCCCCCCGGCTTCTGCTTTCATGAAACGTATCACCTGCTTTAGATTCTAGTGATTAGTGTCCACGTACTATCTTCCCTGCTGGATTGTAAACTCCTTGAAGACATAAACCACATTGAATACATTTTTATATCTCCTACAATGTCCTCTCATGCTCAGTAAACATCTGTTGAAAGAATGGATCGAAGGATGGATAGTTGGAGAAATGGATGGATGAATAAGTGCTTAAGTTGTTTTTGCAAATCTGTTGGCTGGTAGCTCTGTTGATATTCGTCAAGGGCAGGTAGCTTGGAGATGTAAAATACAGCGGAATAATGGTGCCTGGTAATGATACCGCGTCTTCCACAAAACTGATAAATCTGGTAAGGTCGTGTACACTGATTACTCGTAATATGCTGGCAATGCATAGAATTTCCCTTCCCACCAACTGAATCAGATCCTTGTAGGTGTTTAATTCCCATCTGAAGCCTCCCTGGGAGGCTGATGCCATTTTAGAGAAAAGGAAACTAAAACACAGAGCAGTTGAATAGTTCTGCATAACGTCACACAGCAACTGGAAGGATCAGTGGAATTCACGGGCATATTCGTTATCCATTCATATAGGACAAATGTCCCAACATTTAGCAGCTTAAGGCAACGAACATTTATTATCTCAGTTTCCCTGGGTCAGGAAATTGGGTGCAATTTAGCTGGATAGCTCTGGCTCGAAGTCTGTCATAAGGCTGCAATCAAGGGCTGCTGTCATCTCGAGGCTGGACTGGGGAAACCTGTTCCAAGCCATTTATGGCTGTTGGCTGGAGTCATCAACTCCTGGCATTGGGCTCCATTGGGCAGCTCGTACATGGCAGCTTGTTTCCTCCAGACTTTAGGCTCCAGGGGACCAAGCAAGCAAGAAGTCACATAGTCCTTTTGCAATCTAGCCTCTGACGTGACACCCCATCACATTTGCTTATGCTGTTTGGTAGAAGGGAGTCGCTAGGTCTCACCTACACTCAGAGGTAAGGGGATGACATAGGGATCAAATTCCAGGAGACGCAGGGATCACTGGGGGCCCACCGTCGACCACAGTGGGCGCCCACAGCTCACAAAAGGACCGTCTGCGAGCTGCCTNTATCTCAGACACCGTTGACCACAGTGGGCGCCCACAGCTCACAAAAGGACCGTCTGCGAGCTGCCTCTTGCCTGTCCATACATTCAGTGTTGGGTCAGAAGGTGGTGCCAAATCGGAGGTCACAGAAGCAGCCTGCCTCAACAGTGAAATATCTCTTTTCTCCTTTTTGACAGAACACATAGGTAGATGTGGCTTCTTGCTGGGAAGTTCTACCAACAGCCACTCACATCCCCAGTGGCATCTAAGCCTCTTGCCTTCACCGCCTGAGCTCACTTTCTTGGATGGTGATGGATTTCTGGAAAATTCAAATAGACGTGTAGCTTCGCTCTGCGTCCACAGCGGACACCTGAGGCTGGGACCCTCTGAGGTGTCGGGACTGCTTTCCCAATGACGGGGCCAGTGATCGAAACGGTGAGTGTGTGGGTGGAGGAAGAAAACATCTTCCCTGATGGCTGGTGGAGATGAAACTCTGTTGTGAAACCAGTTGTCTCTTAACGTTGGAACTGAATGGTTCGAATTGACTAAAATCCCATAGGAATGTATTCCTTTGTGTCTTTTCAAGCGAAGCTTTCAGTGTAGATATAGTAAAAAAGATACAGTATCCTGGAAGGGGAGCAGAGGGTGTGCTTACTCCCCCTTTGGCTTCGAATGGTCATCTGCCCTAAAAGTCCACCGTTATCTCCAGATCTCCTTAACTCCTTAAGCAAGACAATGACATTTTATTAAAGAGCAGTTGCTAGATTATTAGCCACTGGGCTTAAAACACTGAAGTGTCGCCCTTCTCCTGCCTCCCTTAGCTCAGATCCACATGGTTTAGGCTGCCTCTGAGATGTGAAGTTCGTGGCACGCAGGTCTCTCCATCCCCACTCAGAATTAACCGATAAATTAGAATAACTAAGTGAGAAAGGGTTAGACAAAGGCAGTGTCAAAACCGGAGGCCAGGGCCCGGGTCATTTAGAATATGAAACGAAGCATGGTTTATGTTTTATATTTTATAGGTTTTAAAACAAAGCTAACGTATAGCATTAAGGATCAAGGTCAGGGTGTTATCTTTTGTGGGGTGACCGGGGTGGGGGTGGCGAGGTCACAGCTTATGCCAAAGACTTGGCCCCTCCTTCCTCTGTAACATTTATTTTCCCGAGCTTCTGTCTAATTAATATAAGGCCTTGCTTGAGCACACTGGCCCTCATTGGGCCTGTCACTCGTTAATCAAGTGACCCTTCTAGCCTTGGGTAATGACCTTGAAAGAATATATCAGCCCATGATGGCGGAAGTGAGGAATTAAATTGTTTCTCTGAGTGCTTATGGTCATTGCTGACAATTTATATCTCACAGCTGCCCTGGGCTGGCCATACTGGCCATTGTGCGGCGATCATTTTCCTGGCCGGGAATGGATTGTGTGCCGGACAGGGACCAAGCTGGCCTCCTGTACATCTCCATCTTTATGTTATCTCCCCTCCCCCCCCACCTTCTTTTAATCACGTCTTTGTTTGAGAGGCAGGGATTGTACAAAGTTAAAAGCTTTGTCATTAAGGCCACCAAGAGCCAAAAGCTTGGGGTAAATCGTGTGTCTGGCTATGCCCTGCTTTGTCTCCGAGCACAGTGCTTTCATCTCTGCTGATACAAGGCTTAAAAGGGAAGTGTCCTGAGAATTAGGTTAGCCCAAAACTCATAAGAAAAAATTACCAGAAATATTAAAAGGCTGCAAAGGGTGTATTGTGTACAAGTGATTAAGCCTGAACCCTTTCTGGGTCTTTCTAAGAGGTCAGGGAGATATTGGCTGTTGGTCCTGAGGGGAATAGGCCAGGGGAGTGGCTTTTACCTTTTCACGGTGGTATATTTAGACCTAGTGGTATCTCGGGGTACGCTGCCGTGTAGCTAAAATTGTACCCTTGTACCAAGATAAATGTTATCTGTCCCTGAAATTAAGCACCGTATCTCCACTCAGAACCTGGACACCCCCTTCTCTTTTTCTGTTTGCTCTTCTTGAAGCTAAGTAAGTGAATTTTAAGAGCCCTTTGCCTGTGGGAAAGTCTTTTTCATTGTTTTACCGCACCACAGTAGGGCTTGCAGAAGAATTAAGAGAGAGATTCTTCCCATTAGCTAAAATCGAGCAAATAAATAGCATACCTTTGCACAGCTCAAGCTACAATTACTGGATTTTGTGTGAGAGGTTTTAGAAATACAATGGCATAGCTTTGATTTGTCCTGGGCCTTCCTTGCTATAGAGACATTCACTAGTTATTACTAAATATATGTGCTAAAACTTCGAAGAAGAGAAATCGCCAACAAGAACCTCCAGAGGTGGGGAGAGAGATAAGTGTTTATAACCCAAGTTGCTATTCCTTCATCTTGCCGGCTCCAGGTTTGGCACCTGGTCTGTTTATTGTTATTGGACGGCGCCTTCCATACACAGGGAAAACTCTTTCTCTTGAGGTCTACAGGGCATGTGAGCTTCTGCAGGTCACAGCTCCCTCTCTGTCTTGGGGACCGTTTTTATGTGACCACATTGGGCAGAATGGTTGGTGGAAGGGAGGGGGAAATAAGAGCTTCCCCCTAATTGCGCAAGCATCTTGGCCTTCCATGAAAATAGGGCAAATATTTATTCTGCCCTCAGCCCATCGGGAGGAAGACTGTGTACAAATGTGGAAAACCAAGACTTCTGCCCACACAAGTACAAATGAAGGCAGATGAATAGAATGTGTGCTGATCCTAGTAAGATTCACATCAAGGTGTTTGCCCTTTAAGGGGGGATCTCATGGAAGGCGAGGGCCACGTTGTTTTATTTTTGGATTCTTCACCACGCCAAGTATAGTGGCTTAGATACAGTAGGCACTGAAGGGGAAAAAAATATTTGTTGAGTGATGGGAGGAATTCATTCTTTCCATGATCCGAACACCTGAGTCGAGCTGGTTCTTCAGCTCTTTGGGAAATGGGAGAAAACTAGTTGCCATGAAAGTTACTCTTCCTCCTTTGTGTTTCTTTTTCCACTGCACGGTTGTGTTCTAATGGGAAGGGCCCACGACTGAAATTCAGAGGCCTCACTTCCAGCCCTGACCACTCATCTGAGGGTCAACTTTCCAAGTCATCCCTTCTCTGGGAGCGTCAGAGTCTCGGTCTTAAATGAAGGGGCTGGACTTGCTGAGTCCTCTGGTTCTCCCCAGCACATTTTTGTAATTCTAGAGGACCACCTGTCGCTTTCTGGGAGGGTTAGCCAAATGGTAGGAAGAAATGTGTGTATGTGTTAAAAAACGGTCAGGATTGCCCGTGTGCCTGGTGCATAGTAGGTGCGCATAAAGGTGGCTGGGATCGGTTTGTGGAAGGAGCTGGGTGACAGACCAGAAATCACTGAGTGGAAATCCGTGTCCGTGCCCAGTCTTCTGCCCTCCCCCTCCCTCACACGTGCACGTCGGCTGCGTGCCATGGCTCCGCCACAGTGCCAGGAGGTCGCTCTCCAGTCTGTAATTGTAGCGATGAAGCTGCTGTTTACCTGAAGAGTTTACAAATGGAAATGATGGAGTTTTGAAAGTTTTTTTCACCCACGTTCTCAAAATCAATTGATCACCTCCTCCGTACAGTCAGTGAGCTGGCTGGACTTCTGCTTAACTGTCCACTCTTCCGTATTTTCAGTGACAGAGGCATTAATTGCTACATCTAAATATTATGGGTTCGGTTAGTGGTTTCTTTTGATAAAGGACAGAGTTTCTTCGAGACAGTGATGTCTTCTCTGCGAGGGCCGCGGAGGAGGCACGGTAAAACGCCAGGAGAGGAAGCTTCATCCATGTCCTTTCTTATTTTTCTGGCATCCGTTCCTTCAGGATAGACCCATGGAGACAAATGAGCTTTCTTTCCCCCAGCGACACGCACACTGCAGTGAAATGTGCCAAGCATCCAGGGCGAGTGGCCATCGGCAAGGCCGACTGTGCCATCTGGGCATGAGAAAATGCCACGGGCGTAGAGCATGCTCCCAAGGATGTCAGTGGACTCTGCCCGTGGGACAGGGGCGGCCACATCACGGGGGAGACGGCACAGACCCCCATAACGGGACACCTCGGGCACTGTTAGCAACGCGCTCATCCAGGAAGGGCACGTTCCGAAACTGCTCAGTGTTAGGGCCTCCCTCTGAGTGGGAAGAGCTCTCATTTTACCAGGCACCTACTGTGTCTAAAAGTTTTTTGCTAAATAGCTTTCATGTGTTTTTGCTTTTTCAGCCTTATTTTTTTTTTTTTTCAAATTGTAAATCATCTCAAATCATTTCATAGGAAGGCATGTCTACTTGTTATGCTCTCCTGCCAGTCTTCATTGATTGAATAACAATGAGTTCTTCTTCCTATATTTATTAAGCACAAACATATATAAACTGACGGTAGGAACTTCTGTGAATTATTAGATAACCAATGCTTTCACACAAACTTGCTACAATTTTAGGCAAAGGGAAAGGAACTTGGCATTTTCATCAAGGCCTGTGAAATCTTTTTCATGATGGGAAAATACTCCCTTCGCACACTCAGGATTCTAAGGACCCAGGGCTGGGAGCCACTGCTTTTCCTGGTGGAATTTTAGTCACTATAATAAGTGAAAAAAAAAAAAATCAGTCCATTTGAGAGGCCACAATTTTGAGCCGGGTCCCAGCTCATAGGGAGACCTGTTTTTACGGTTTCCCCAGTTTTCACAGATTTCCACCTTTCTCTACTTTCACCGTGTTTTCTAATCATGGCTTCCACAAGAGTCACCAGGGAGAAGGGGGTGATGTAGGTATTGGGGACACAACAAGTATGGGGTTCAGTGTGAGCCAGAGATATCACCCCTCACCAACCTGCCTGTAGGGTCTGTCTGTTAATGTAAGTAAAAGTCGTGGAGGTCAGTTACAGACCAAACCTCATTCTAAACTGTTTACAACCTTGTAAGGTAGATATTACTTTCTGTATTTTACTGATGAGATTCCTCACCAGAAAGTGGCAGAGCCGTTTTAACGTCTGCTCTCTCATCCACTACATGGTATCCAAGCAGCCCGTCCACAAGGAGCCTGGTTTAGGACTGGCGATGGAAGGCTAGGAGTCCGTCACTGCTTCGAGAAGCGCAGAGCTCTGGGATTTGTTCACATGTTTGTTTTTGTTTCGTCTTTTACACTGTGATATTCTGAAGTGCTGTGTCTGGTCATCTGAAGTTGTTAAGGGCCCAATATTATCTTGTATATTGTACTTTATGGTAGTTTTTCTGGCCCCTCTAACCTTATATTGTCAGTATCACTCTGGTATATAGTTACACTGTCTCCACAGTTTTGCCCTTCCCAGAATGTCCCATAGCTAGAACCATCCACCATGTCGTCTTTTCAGATGGACTTCTTTCACTTAGTAATATGCATCTGGGGCTTCTCCACGTCTTTTCATGGCTTGATAGCTGCTCATTTC